TTCTCCGGACCAAGGATGTATCAATCTCTATCAATCTCTATGTCTGATATTGCACACGAACTAGTGATGCCACTTCTCCTCGTGAGCACAAATCACTATGTCTGATATTTCTCACGATCCAGATGGTGCAACTTCTACTCATCACGTGAGCTCATAAGCATGTATCTTTCGGAGGCATCTGAATCGTAGAGGGGAGTAGGAGGAAAGGAAAGACGAGGTRATACGTCAGCAGGGAGGGAAAGTGATACACAAGGGTAAGGGGGAGCGTGGGAATTAGATTGGCCAAGAGAGAGATAGAGGGGAGGGGCTGAACACAGTCAATCAGTGTAGACTGTAGAATARCGGGGAGGACGCCTCTTCTGTGGCACGCGACGGCCCTGATCGTCGCTTTTTGTCCGTTGATTCGCACAAAAACTCCCGTGTTCGATTCCTACCGTAATCCATTCACCATCAGAACCGGGAGGACAGGTAGAAGACGTCCACTCCTCCGTTTCTCCGCCACCTCCCTCTCTCCCTCTCTCCCTCTCTCCCTCTCTCCCTCTCTCCCTCCTCCTCTTTAACACAAATCACTATGTCTGATATTTCTCACGATCCAGATGGTGCAACTTCAACTCATCACGTGAGCTCATATGCATGTATCTTTCGGAGTCATCTGAATCGTGGGGGGAAGTAGGAGGAAAGGAAAGACGAGGTGATAAGTCAGCAGGGAGGGAAAGTGATACACAAAGGTAAGGGGGAGCGGGGGAAATAGAGCGGCCAAGAGAGAGATAGAAGAGAGAAGGGAGAGGGGCTGAACACAGTCAATCAGTGTGGACTGTAGAATAACGGGGCGGACACGATTCCTACCGTAATCTATTCACCATCAGAACCGGGAGGACACCTCCCTSTCTCCCTMTCTCCCTCTCTCCCTCCTCCTCTTCAACACAGTCGATCACTGTACGCCAAGCGGAGGGCAGCTTTTGTCCCTCTCACCCGTGTTGTCGCAGTCATTCCATTCATTCACAAGATCCCGAGTTCGGCTTCCACAGATCCCACAGATCCCACAGAACACGATAAGAAAGTGGAGAGCTGGACGGGGTAAGGGAGGGGGGGGACAGGGATGGGATGGGAGGCACAACGGAAGGAGGGAGAGGTGGGAGGGGAAGGCTTTCAGAGGGAGGGGGGGAGTTTTTTTAAAAAAACGGACGCCTTAACCTCCTGTTGCTGCATGGTCCTTTGTTGCTGTATCTCCTCTCGTCGTTGCTTCCTTATTTCACTGCTCCTTCGTTGCCGTTCTTGCCGCTGCCTGCCAGATAAGGCTAAACAGTCGTCGTCTCAGTCCGAAACCCCACCGCGCTGGTCGCCCGGCGCAGGGCCCCATGGGAAAACTTCCTGAGGTCAACGCCCTGTCTCTCCTCACCGGCCTGCTTGCCTTCCTTACGCCCTGCTCATCGATGCCTTGCTGTCTTTTGATCGTTGTTCTTCCTTGCTAGCGCTCGCTTCCGTTACGGTGGGGAACAAGCTGCACCCTCAGCTTCCGCTATACGCAGCTCCCCACATGAGTACGACACTCTGCCGTAGCGGCCACACTGCACGTCCCGCCCTCTATTCCTCTCCTTCCCTCCACAGTCCATCCCAAACTATGGCTTCCGGACGTGTCTCTCCTGTCACCACTTCCCCGCTACCATCATTGGCTCTCAGTCTCGCGCAGTTCTCCGTTCCCATCCGTGCAGCCTCGCTCCGACAGCCGCTTCGCGGCTCCACTGGCACAGGCCTGCTGCGCCACAATCGCTAAGCGAGCGCTCCTCTGCCCCCTACTGCCTTGGGAGGTAGCTGTAAAAAACTAAGAACCTGACATGGACAAAGAGAAGCATTCAAGGACGGAGAAAGGAAGAGGGTTCATGGCTGGCCTCTGCACATAGATCTATGGCAACTATTCCTCACAGAGACACAGATAGACAGAGAGGTGCCTGATGATTGACACAAAATCAAACTTCAAGTAATGGCTGTGTAACTCGCAGGACAGGGGTTTGGGGTCCCTCAGGCCAAGGACAAGCAGTCACGGTGGTTTCGACAGGTCCAAGCAGAATCTGCTTTGAGAAAGCTGAGATGAACAAAAGAAGAGACTGTTGCTCGGTCAGGTAGGTTCAATCGAACAGCATTTCTGGCCATCGGCACAGCTGAGCCAAGAGGCGGAGGGCTCTGGTTCAACTTGTGGCTGAAGGGAGGGAAGGATGGACCAAGTAGTAGAGAAGCACAGGAGTGGGCTGCTAAGATTTGATGGTACTTTTGGCCAGACAGTGTATCCCACGAGCATATTCCTGCCTTCTGGTTTGGTATGGTGCACACGCCTTGGCTGCCAGCTGTGCTGCTCCGAACGCTCCAATGCAGCTCCATACAGATAGATCAGAGCCATATAAACAGGCTGGCCTAGACTTTGAGGGCTAGGCTCTTCATCTATGAATTTGTGGCAGCTTCCATAATGCTCTCGGAGGGAAAGGAAAAAAGAAGTTCGCCATTCTTTGAACCACCTGATCTGGTGCCAGCAGAATCCGCTGCAGGACTTGCGATGGGTTTTGCCTCCTTTCCCCTGGGGCTTCGTAGAAGTCCGCTTCCCCCCCCTTTCTGAGCCGACCTTGGAAAGCCCAGTGGTCTGAAGACTGAACTCAATGTTGGCCTAGTGTGACTGGTCTGTGTTGAATCCATTCCAACTTCCAGCAGACTCTAGCTCGGGCCCGGCCCTACTTGTGCAATGTTCGTGCTTACAAAGCACCGCGTCCATGCTTCGTTAGCATGAACATCATAGCACCAGACTGAGTGGGGTTTGCCTTGGACCAGTAGTTTTTTATTTTTATTTGTATTTTTAAGAGGGCTGCGGTGCAGTCTACAGCTGCAATGCAATACAGAGGCCACACTGGAAGGGTAGAGTAAGCAAGCTTACCCCTTTGACCCCTCCAAGGCCCACTGATCAGATATTAAACTGATGAGAACAGATACTCCACTTGGTCTCAGCCAAAAGGCCAAGAAAGGTATACCGGGGCCTTGTCGCAGAGTACCCTCACATTTGGAGTCCATAGTTCTGGGTCTGCGAGGGTATTCTCACGCTCGGATGGAGTTTCTAGGGCCAGGCCCCGCTTGTGCTATGTCCATGCTATGAAAGCACGAGCCTGGTCAATAATATGACCAAGTGGAAAGCATGAACATAGCGCTCATGGGCCCGCCCCATAACTTGCACAAAGACATTTGGACGAAGAGCGGGGGCGAGGTCCCACCAGCCGCCTGAATCTGTTATGTGCTTTATGCGAGAGACGCAGAAAAGCAGATCAGACACAGAAAAGCAGATCAATGGAGATTTTCCGCATCTTTCCACAAACACGTCCACGTTCAGGCCTTAAATACGATCCTCTTTGCTACTAGTGGGACCTGGCCCCCGCCTGGCCCCTGGGCGGAGACCGATTTTCGACGGTAAACGGCGGGATGGAGCAGCTCGAGACAGCTACTACGTTCCGCGTGCCAGCGCCCAACTTTTGCGCTAGCTGCTGTCGTTTTGTCCGCGAACCGAATCGAACGCACACAAGTTTGCTCCTTTGTTGTGCCCGCGCCAAATAGAACGCGCCTCCCCCCCCCCAAAAAAAAAAAGAAAAAAAGAAAAAAGAAAAAAGGACGCACCCACACCTTTTTTTTTTTTTTTTTTTTGCACCCACACTTTTGTCGGCAAGTGTAGGCGCGGTGAATCGGGCATTCCGTCGGTTCGTCATGTCGGGCTTTTTTCCCTTCTCTATTTTTTTTTTCATCTGGTGTGCCTATTGCGCGTGCGGAGTCCCCGCCCGATTGCGGCGGGGCCGTGAAAGGCTTCCTTGAAAACTGGAGCGATTTGGGGAGATTGGGAATGGCAACCGTGCGCCCCTGCGCGCCCAGCGCGCGCAAGGAAGACACACGAATGGACGAATGCTCCGAATTCAATTAAAAAGCTGAGAAAAAACGGGCCCATCAAAAAAAAAGAAGAAAAAAAGTAAAATAAAAAATAAAAAAATTGTGGGAGCTAAAAAAGAAAAAACGAAAAAAAAAAAGTGGGAGCATCCCCAGAAAAAAATCGTTCGTTCTCAGGTACCTTCTGGCATTCCCAGAAAAAAAACTGAGCGTTTCAGGGAGGGAAAAGAGAAATAGGGCCTCGCCACAATACTCTCGAAATGTGAAACAGACAAAAGTGTGGCGGGCCCATCTGGCCATGTTCTAGCGGGAAGTTCATTCTCATTCTGCAGATTTCGAGAGTGGTGTGGCGATGCCCATAGGCCGCTTGTGGTGGAGGCGGCTTGGATGGGAGGTCCTGAAACTACATATAGAGAGGCCAGTCCTGTCGGAACTCACTTGGGTAGTTTCATGTTCATATACAGATTGCAGGTGCACGATCCGCACCCGGACGTGAAACTGGCCAAGTGAGTTCCGTCAGGGTCGACCTATAGGTAGTTTCAGTACCTCCAACGCAAGCGGCCTCCACCACAGGCGGCCTATAACGCTCACTCATGCAGGCTCTTCACTAAAGCAATCGCTCCCGTGACCTTTTTTTTTTTTTTTTTTTTCCCGTGACCTTTTGCAGGTAGAGGGGTATTTTTCCTTCCCCCACAATTGTCATGCAGGCACCCTTTTCTGTTTAGGGGAAAAAAAAAAGGGTTTAGGGGTCGAGTCTCCTGAAGGGGCACTTGCATGCCTTGCCAGCTGATCAAATTGTAGGCCACTTTCGGGGGAAAAAAAAAGAAAAAAAAAGAAAAAAAAAGAAAAAAAAAGCTTGTAGGCCCCTGAGCCCAAGCGACCTATTTTGGTACCTAAGAGACCTAAGAGGCTGGAACGGCGGAAAGGAGGAAGGTGACGTGTTGGGCGGGGGAACGATTGGGCAGGGAGCCGGTCGAACAGGAACGAAGGGAAAGGAATGCCTGTGAAGTTCCTGGTAGCAGTAGCGGTCGCACGAGCCGCCGTGCGGCACAGCTGGACCGAACCGGACGGTACGCTCGGTCGGTCGGTCGGTCGATCTCGAAACGCAGTAAGGAGGAGCAAGAAGCAAAAGTGTGGTCGCTGGGCTCTTGACAAATTTCTCTCGTCGCCTCCCTCCCGCTCTCATCCCCCGCTGCTCCCATGATTGTGATTGCCTCCTCTCTCTCGGGAATGTCCGATCGGCATTGAACACACCGTCTAGCAGGAGCAAGAAGCAGAGCAGCAAAGCAGCAACTGAAACCGGATGCGCGGGGAAGCGGATGAACAGCGAGGACATAGGTAGGTATTCGTGGGTTCGTGCGTGCGCGACTGCCTTTGAGAAAATATTCACATTAGGACTTTCCTGGATGTATCTGACCGCAATTACGGCCATTCCTGGATGAATCTGACGGCATCTACATCCAGAGGTGACTCAAAAAGTCGTACCATCTTCCCCCGAACACAACGTGTGTGTGTGTGTGTGTGTGTGTGTGTGTGTGTGTGTGTGTGTGTGTGTGTGTGTGTGTGTGTGTGTG